CCGGTATTTTGGCCAAAACGGTATTTTGAGTGTAAATGTACCGGTCGGACCACCGGTATCCGGTATTACCGGTAATACCGGCCGGTACGAACCGGTATTTAAAACATGGAGCTATTCATTCATCTGCGGCGGAACAATTGTTATCTTCCTTATGGATTCGTCGAATGTTTTAAATTGTCCACGGTGTATTTTCCTCGATTTTATCTGTTTAGAAGCAGAGCATCGTTCTTGAAATGCTGTTGATGTCTCTTTTCTTATGACTCTCGATTTGAAAAGTGTGTTGCCTTGAAAGATGTTGCCTGCTGTTTGGAAAATTATGGTGCATCTCTCTCTCTCTCTCTCCCTCTCTCTCTCTCTCTCATTTCCTATTAGCGGAATAGGAAATGTTGTTATGGTGCACTTGACGTGCGTAGGACAACACTCGTTTTTCCCCGTTTCTTTACATCGGGAAATTTTCAACCTGTTCTAAGGCACTACATTCATGGGGTCTTGCTATGAACAATATTTATTAAAATTACGATACATTTTTCTTTTAAATTTTATAAAATGCTGACTTTTAATATCGTAGTACTACAAGGCTCTTGGAATACTCACTTGTGAGTTGTCTCATATTAATTATACAAGAAAAATGAGTGTAGTATATAAGCTTAGTAGGCACTCCTCCCATCACTAATTGGTTTTGTGATAGAACCTCGCTAAAGTGCATCTAAGCTCATCATCTTATGGTGCGCTTCATCTGGTGGAACTGCACCCCTCTTCTCGTTAGCAATAAAAACAAATGGTATGAGATCTTATGTTTTAATTAAATATTATAAAATATTGTTAATTATATAAAGAATCACATGTCTTTGAATCAGTCCAAAAGCAACAAAAAAAAATAAAATAATAATAATAATAATAATAATAATAATAATAATAATAATAATAAAAATCAGCCACTTGAGTTTTTTCAAATCTTCAATTTCAACCTCTCCACCTCCACTAATCTTCCTTACATAATTTTCATACTTTGCAAAAACCATTAAACCAAAAAAAAAAAAATGTCTGAGAGAACAAATGAATGGCCAATCAAGACAGTTGTAATCCTAGTCCAGGAGAACAGATCATTCGACCACATGCTGGGATGGATGAAATCCATCAACCCCGAAATCGACAGTGTCACGGGCCAAGAATCTAACCCGTTATCAACGTCGAGCCCGAACTCGAATCGAATACACTTTGGCCACCAGTCGAGCAATGTGGAGCCCGACCCCGGCCACTCGTTCGAGGCCGTGTTCGAACAAATATACGGCATACCATGGGACGACGAAAAACGAGCTAATTTGGCTCCCACAATGGAAGGATTTGCTCAGCAAGCAGAGAGCATACAACAAGGGATGTCCCGTATAGTGATGAACGGGTTCAGGCCCGAACAGGTGCCCGTCTACAAGGAGCTGATATCGGAGTTTGCAGTGTGCGACCGCTGGTTCTCGTCCGCCCCCACGCTGACTCAGCCGAACAGGCTCTTCGTACACTCTGCCACGTCGTATGGGGCCATAGCCAACGACACGAAGATGCTCGTTAAAGGCTATCCGCAGAAGACGATTTTCGAGTCGGTCGAGGAGAGTGGCTTCTCTTTCGGGATTTACTATCACTACCCTCCTTCAACTCTCTTTTACAGGTAATTTTACATTGTTTCTTCTCTACCTCTCACATAAGTCATGATCATTCACAAACTACAAACCTGAGATGTTTCTTTTTTTTAAAAAAAAAGAAATAAAAATAAAAATTTATTTCTGGACAATTTTGATTGAAGATGAAGAAGCAAATGAGATTTTCATTGACATGTAGTATTTTAATCTGTAGATGAGTAGGTGTCATTTTTAAATAGTGTTCGTTTTGAAATTCCCATTAGCTATATTGCATGTTTGGTATCAGTGTTTTTTAAAACGCGTATAGCGTAATGAGTCACATTTTGGTTTTTATACTAGGTAACGTAAATAGTGTTGCGTGTTGCGTAAGCTGTTTGAATAAAAGTATATATGTATATATATATATATTTTATAGAAATATTGTAAATATATTTGCATATAGAAAACCTGAATGATTTATTCCAAAAGTTATCATAATATTTGAATGAATTCAAAAATAACATCTTAGGATTATTTCTCACAAACGTTTAATGCAAATATCATAATATATATATTTTTAAATAATGAAGCGAACATACTAAAAAGTAAAAACAAACATTGAAAATCTAATGAGGGTACGTAAGTCACAGTTTAATTTTAATTAGATGCATTTTAATTATTATTTTTATTTAACTTCAACTTAATTCTAAACATTATACATGAACTTTTTATTTTTTATTTACATGTTAAATATCAAAATTAAAATGATATAATAAAAATAAACTGATAAATATTACCTTATTCAACACAAGACTTTGCACATTCAAAAATTTTAGTTTTAAGTTGTCATTTGAAAATATGACTCTACTCCCTAAAAAATACGAGGTTTGAAGTATTTCATTGTTTAAATGTCGTTGCAAAAATATATCGTAATGTAGCGCAAAGCACAATAGCGTGAATAACAAAAAATATCGTAAAAAAGCTGTCACTTCAGTATTTCACGTAAGCTTTGTAGGGAAAACGCTTAATATATATCGCTACGTCACGTCTTTGAAAAAAAAAAAAAAAAAAAACTACATAGCGATCTATTTAAAACAATGATTGAGTTTAGGAGAATAATTTTGGGGGAATTATGCATTATTGGGTTTTGAGAAAGATGAGATGTGGACCAGTGACCCAACTTTGATCCATCTGCAAGTGACTAATAAAATATGGATTAATGTTCTAAAAAACAATGAGATTTTGAACATTTGTCCTTGTCATTATTGACAATGCTTTGGCATCCAAGTGAAGAAAGCATCAATTCAACACCTTTAATCCTATATCTAATTACTACTATTAATTAAAAAGTAACTAGAAAAATATATAGATTCAAAGCAGTCAATCATGACCATATGATGGCTTTTACTTTTCTTGATAGCCCTTTTCTCAATTCACTCAATGCTCAAACTCCCAGTCCAAAATAAAAATTAAAAAACATATATATATATGTAAATGTATTTTCACCACCATTTACCTGATCATAAAAAAAGTAAAACTGAAACAGAAACCTGAGGAAGGTGAAGTACATAGACAACTTCCACCAGTTTGACCTCCACTTCAAGAGACACTGCCGGGAGGGGAAGCTACCGAACTACGTCGTAATCGAGCCAAGATACTTTGAAAGCAAACTCGTCCCGGGCAACGACGACCACCCGCCCCACGACATTGCGGAAGGGCAGAGGTTGGTGAAGGAAGTGTATGAGTCCCTGAGGTCGAGCCCCCAGTGGGAGCAGATTCTATTTCTGGTCATATACGACGAGCATGGGGGTTTTTACGACCACGTGCCAACACCAGTGGCTGGCGTGCCCAGCCCAGACGGCATTGTCAGCCCCGAGCCGCAAAGCTTCCGGTTCGACCGCCTCGGCGTGAGGGTCCCAGCCATCTTGGTGTCTCCTTGGATTCAGCCTGGGACAGGTAGTTTTAAGTTAATTAACCCCTTGTCATTCATTGTTTTTATGTTTTTAGTTATTCATTGTTAAGGTGAACACATAACTAACATGTTACGAGGAAATGCTGCAGTGTTACATGGACCTTCGGGACCGTATCCCACGTCAGAGTTTGAGCATTCTTCAATTCCTGCAACTGTCAAGAAGATTTTTAATCTCAAAAGCTTCCTGACTCGGCGTGACGCTTGGGCCGGCACTTTTGAGTGTGTCTTAAACAGGACGAGTCCGAGAACAGACTGCCCAGGTGAAGAAATTACATAAAGAGTTTGTTATTAATTCTACAAAAAATCACAAATAATACTACAAGGGGGTTATTATTAACTGTATAAAATATCCATTTACCATTGCAGTTGAGCTGTCTGAACCTGCAAAAATGAGGGATACTGAGGCAAATGAGGACGCAAAGCTAACTGAATTTCAACAAGAGCTGGTCCAAATGTGTGCGGTTCTGAAAGGCGACCATGATAACTCGGACATTTTCCCTCACAAGATAGCGAAGGAGATGAATGCTGTCGAGGCCGTTGATTACATGGGAGGCGCTTTTCAGAAGTTTAAGGATGATTGTGACAATGCCATAAGAAATGGAGTCGATGTCTCCCACATTGTCTGTCTTGCTAAACTTCCCGAAATACACGTTCAGAAGTCGTTTGCAGAAAAACTGTTATCATGTTTGGCTTGTGGCCATTAAATAGTGGGCCGATGATCTTCTGTTTGTCTTTCACATTCTACATAGTCGGTTGAATAAGAATATGTGTTACTGTATTGTATTTTGTGTGGTTTGTGATTATAATAAAGATGCTTTAAAGTGAATGAAGAAAACGAAAGCAAAACCAAGTCGAAGCATGTAATAGTTACGTTTTTTCATAGCCGAAATTATTCGGTAAAATACCAACGGTTAATGGCAAACGTCTCCAAGATACAACGACTTTTGACTTGTATATAGTGATATTTTAAATATACAAGCTTTCGGCAAACAGTACTATTGTTTGGAACTTTCAAAGATCAGTGAAAAAAATCAAAGAACCTTTACCAACTTTGAAAATATAGCTCTTAATTTTAAAGGTTTTAATGATTTCATGAATGTGAGTATTTTATACCTGCAGGAAAACACCTCAAAGAGGTTGAAGTGTCAAAAAACATCTTTTAGGACATAACCGAAGGAGAACAGACACATCTAGAACCAAAATATATATTAAATTAACCGATTAAACCACTAGGTCTTACAAGTGAACCATTGAATCAGTAGCTCGATTGACTCGATCCCCATGGGAAAACAAAAAACAAAACTTATGTTCGGAGCCGAGTCAGCTGTCATCACGCAGTTTGGTGCGCGAGACAAGCAACTTGAGTATTAGTATAGTAATATTATATCACAATATTTTGTTTGTATAACAGAAAAAATAATTATTAAGAGATAAACGCGCAGTTGATATTTAAGACACCTTTGATCCGCCAAATCTCGTACGAGTTCAATCTTCGCAGATTGTACTGATTCTACCATCTTCTCCGACCAATACCCTCAAGCACACATCGTATTCTCCGAGCTCGAAAATCAATGGGGCAAATTCTTGAGAAATTCAAAGGTTTTGTTTTTTCTTCATATTCTGCCTACTATTTGTTCTGTTCCACGAGGCACACTCTTTTTAGGTCAACCAACATATGGGCCTCAAGCACACATCTTTTTAGATTCATTGTTTGTGCTTCTTGTTTGGAAATATTCTGAATTTATGATGTAATTTTTGGGAGATGCTACAGTTTCGGAACCATTCTGTCGAGATTTGTAACTGTTAGATATCATGTAACCGTCAGGATGGTTGATCTAACAGTTACAAACTCCGATGACATGGTTCCGTCATGGGACCGTAACATTTTCCGTAATTTTTACCTTTCTGATTCCTAAAAAAAACATAACCCTATGCTTGGTCCTGGTTGATTTGTTGAGTCCTTCGTCTACATATAAATGTGTTCCTAGAAAAATTGGTGCTTTTTTGAATGCGTTGGGACAGGAAAGTGTTGTTCAGGAGTTTCCAGTTTGTTTGAAGACTACTCTGATGTTTGATTTTGTTTTATTTTCAAGCTGTTATGATATATGTGCTTAACCATAAGGTGGGCTTCGAAATTAGTTCTATTTTTCCGTTTTCTTGAGAAAAAACAGTGTTTGTCTGGTTTTGTTTCGTTTTCGAATAGTTGTTGTAATGATTCCTACATCTAACATTTGTTTTTCATTTGGTACAAAGTTATTATCGAACCTTTCGGCTAAAATAAGGTTTCAAGTCGTAACACAATAATTTATGCCTATAGAAAGACGACGATTTCGACGATTTTACCTGGGTTGAACGGGCTCTGTGTCTGAAGTTGTAAAGAACATATGTTCACGGACAATCGTTTGGATGCGTTACTTGTTGTATGATTGTATCATGTGCAGGTAAGGACTGGAAAGAGAAACAGATACGGCTTATTACAGACAGAGTTTTCGATAGTTTGAAGAATGACACTGGAAGGGCTACTCTGACATTCGAAGAGCTTTATATTGCTGTTTTACTTGTATTCAAGTGAGAAGATTTTCCCTTACTCGTGCTCCATTTACCTACTTTTCACTTATCGTACGAAATTATTCATTTTCTCCAGATTATCTTTTTGCGCTTTCGTTCTAGAATTGTAGAACAATTGTTTCTGTATTTGCAGTGATCTTAATAAGCGTTTGCCTGGTCCACATTTTGATCCTCCTACAAAGGAGCAAGTTAGGAACTTGATGCAGGTATGTAACAGAATTTTCATTGGGTACTTGATGATATATTATCGACTTGTTAAGGGCCCCTTGAGATCGAGAGACGGGTAATATCTTAGATTCTGTTATTTAAGAGCATTGTTGATGCTCTAGTTTTATAGTAACTGGGAACTATAAATTATCAGTCAAACACTTCCTTGAGACTTGTAATAACTCAATATGCTTTGCTAACCTTCATTCTAGTTTCGATTATCCTAATTTTTTTTTTTTTAACTTTAAAGTCACCTTGTTAGTACAAAGTTTCATTTTCTTCGAGCAGGAATGTGACATAAACCTCGACGGTGAGTTGAATCGTGAAGAGTTCACAAAATTTATACGCCAAATTACAAAAGACACGTTTATCAGTGTGAGTCAAGGATTGATCATCACACTAGCTGTTGCCCCAACAGTGGCTTTGCTAACGAAAAGGACGACAGAGAACGTGCCGGGTGTGGGGAAAGTGGTTCAGAAAATACCGAATTCGGTTTATGCGTCACTCGTGACCCTTGTGATCGTTGCTTTTCAACAAGGTGCAGAGAGAGCATGATGGAGTTCGTGAAATTCCTTGTCTGTGTATATCGTGGCATGGCGGCACTTATCAGCACTAAATAAAAGGGTATAGAAACTCAAGATAATGACTCTCTTTGGAATTGTTGCAGTTCTTGTTGCTTGTAAATGTGTTGATTAGATCTCATGAGTTTTCACTTGAGCCCTTGGATCACAGGTTCTAAGAAAGTGGCCTATATTTGTCAGTATTTGATCAAAGTTTATGTTTCCAAGTCCAATTTTGTGCAATGTGTTCGTGTAGAAAGCCATTTCTTAAGAGGGAGAAGAGGTCCACCGCATTTGTATGAAGGGAATTTTCTCATCTTGCCTTCCAAATTTGGTTGGTAGGTTGGACCGAGACTTGTGAGCCGAACCTGATTAATAAGTCGTTGAAGGCATGCTACAAATTTACATAATCTGAATCATCAAAATTGAACTCAAAATACTATCACACTTGACGGTTTGCTAAAAGATCATCGGCAATTAGAGATATAGATGTACTACAAATTTATATCATCTCAATCATCAAAACTGAACTGAAAGTACCATCATCCTTGATGATTTGCTAAAAGATCATCTGCAATTAGAGATGGATATTCGGTCACCATAACAATTCCATGAAAAAAAACACATTGGGCATAATATTTTCAGGACAGGTTTTTCTTGGATAACTAAAATACCTTCAATAAATGATATATAGTATACTGTATCAACATAAATATACATATATATCCGAAGCTTTAGTAGGATGATGGTGACCATGCTTTTGGTAGATGTTTGACTTGGTGAATCGGTTCTATGGATGTTAATAAGCACCATCTCTCTGTCTTCCCATCGAACCAAACAGGTGGAAAAATGGATCTCACAACATCAACACTAACCAAGCATTTGCAGCCTACCCTTGGCGATATCCAATTGTTCTATACGGTAATTGAACCAAAAAACCAAGAAGATCACAAATACTTGATGATACACAAAGGAAAAGGAAAGTACAAAACACTGATATAGTGAACGGTACACACTTACTTTGTTCAAATGCAGTTGCTTTCTCAATGGTGGTTTGGAAATATATATTCCCATTCTTTTGATAGACAGCCTGCATTAGAAAATGTTATTGGCTATGGCATTTCATACAATGGATACCATTAGTAATGCATCTTATACAAAGATGAGGAAGAAAAGTCCCACCAATATAACTAATGGCACCGAGCAAAAGCCAAAAAAAGCACCAAGACACAGAAATAAAGGCAGACAATGCTCAACCACATAATTAGAACTCGCATATATTGTTTATCAAACATGATTTCATTCCTTGATTTATATATAGCTACATACTTGCACCTTAGATCACAACAAAATCTAAGACTCAAAATAGGTGCCGTTTACTAAAAGCACAGAAGCACTTCTGCGTAAATTTGTATTGCCCTGGTAAAATTTGATATTAGAGCCGAGAATGTTGAACCAAAACAAGACGCTCACTTTGCATCAGAGGAGTCGAGCCTATCCCAATGGGGACTGCCCCACAGGGGTTTTAACCATCCAATCACACACACACACACACACACACACACAGACACTATGAGAGCTGCATAGTGTGAAATTCACCATTCAGGCCCAAGTACCGACCCTATTAGAAATAACGCAACATGAAAAACACTGCATAATGTCTTGATCAATTTTTCTGTGGCGAGTAATGAATGAAAATCATTGAGTCCCAATATTTTTTTTTTTTTTTTTATTCAGCAATGGAATAATTGGTTTTGGAGTTCTAAAAACGTGGAACAAGAAATCAATGGAAAGTTAAGCGCAAAACATAAATGATCAGCAACTTAAGGAATTGTTACCCGAGCAGAAGAAAGATTACTGAGCTCAGCCACAGCGACCTCACGAGTTCTCACCTATAAATTTTCAAATATTTATCAACCAATCGGATCAAGGTACTTTGAGCAGAACAAAATTGGAATCATAAATCGATCAATCAAATCGCAGTCAGGATCACAGATTATAACGTTACCTGCTTGAGAAGATCGGCCGAGATTTGTGTGTTGTTGGGGTTGGGTGTAGACATTTGTTCTATCTATTTCGCGCTTTCTTGAAGCAAGAAACAGAGAGGCAACGTAGGGTTTTGCAAGTTTGAAGGATATGTTTGGTTTGATATTAACCGGACCGGAAGACCGGTTCAACTACCGGTTCAAATGGGTTAGGCGGTTTGCTTGCTGACGGTCTTTATAAGACTACTTTTATCGGTGACCGGGTCACCGATAAAAAACCAAAAAACAAAATAAAAAATAAAGAAAAAATTAAAAAATAAAGAAGAAATGAAGTGGGTCGTGCAACCTAGGTCACATTGTCACCCAAGATTGCAACCGGTTGGTGGACACTTGTCTCTTTTTTATTGATAAAATTTAATTTTTTTTTGTTTAAAAAAATGAAAAATAAATACTAAAATTCATATTTTTTTATTCTCTACAAGTAGAGACTACATTTGATATATTTTGGAACACAATTGTATTTTTTAAATAAATTAAAATAAAATAAATTTTTAGGTTGAGTTGGGTTGGGGATAAAGATAAATTTGGTTGTTGTTGTAAATTGGAGTCCTCAATATTCACCAAGCATCCATCAATCCAAGCATAAAAGAGGTGCAGTAAAAGAACGAGAAAAGAGAAGCAGAAAAGTCTCTCTATTATTCATCGGTATTCACTCTTTTATAGAGTTTACAAAGGGAGAAACCCTAAAACCTAATCCTACTAACTAATGGACTTCAGACCCAATTATATATATTAGTAATGTCCATATTAATATATTTATAACACTCCCCCTTGGACATTACTACATGCCTCATTAAAAACCTTGCTAATAAAAACCCGACTGGGGAAAAAAAAATTAGCCAAGGGAAAAAGAGTACATGATTTATAAAAATTCATGTGTTTTACTAGCTGCCTCGTTAAAAACCTTTAACTAATAAACCCATTGGGAAAAACTTAGTTAAATAAAAAAAGGGAACAGCATTTGGTCTTCAGGACCTAATCTTCGGGATTATATTGAGTTTTTTTTCCTCCCCCTGAAGACAACAGTTTTCCCAGTTTACGCATACCAACACCATAAATGTATTTTTCAAAAGTAGATGTAGGAAGGGATTTGGTGAATAGGTCTGCCAAGTTCTCGCTAGACCTCACTTTTTGTACAATAATCTCACCGCTCTTCTGGAGCTCGTGTGGGTAAAAGAATTTCGGAGCAATATGTTTTGTCATGCTCCCTTTGACATACCCACTACTCATTTGTAAAACACAAGCTGCATTATCCTCATAAAGGACAGTGGGGGTTATATCATTTGTAATTCCACATGATCCACAAATATGTTGGATTAAAGATCTTAACCATACACATTCGCGTGAAGTTTCGTATAAAGCAATTATTTCTGAATGGTTTGAAGATGTAGTAACCATGGACTGCTTGACCGACTTCCAAGAGATTGCAGTACCACCACAAAGAAAAACATAACCAGTCTGTGATCTAGCATTATGGGGATCAGACATATAACCAGCATCTGAATAGCCCACCAATGTCATATCTTGATTTTTCTTATAAAGTAAACCTAGATCTTGTGAACCTTGAAGATACCTAAAAATATGTTTAATACCATTCCAGTGTCTCCTTGTAGGAGAAGCACTAAACCTTGCTAGCAAGTTTACTGCAAATGCAATATCAGGTCTGGTGCAATTTGCAAGATAAAGTAACGCGCCAATGGCGCTCAAATAAGGAACTTCTGGTCCTAAAGTTTCTTCGGTATCTTCTTTAGGTCTAAATGGGTCCTTATCCGCTTCAAGGGATCGGACAACCATTGGTGTGCTAAGTGGATGAGATTTATCCATGTAGAATTTTTCTAAAACCTTCTTCAAGTAGGTTGACTGGTGTACAAATATTCCTTCAGGGAGATGCTCGATCTGCAGGCCGAGACAATATTTGGTTTTACCCAAATCTTTCATTTCAAACTCCGTCTTTAGGCATGAGCTAGCTTTATCAAACTCTTCTCGTGTGCCAATTATATTTATGTCATCGACATAAACTGAAATGATGCAAAAGCCATTTGTTGACCTCTTTATAAACACACAGGGGCACACATCGTTATTCACATAATTATTTTTCAACAAAAACTCGCTCAGCCGGTTGTACCACATTCTACCCGACTGCTTTAAGCCATATAATGACTTTTGTAATTTAATGCTATACATGTTGCGCGTTTCATTTTTTCTTATTTCGGGAACCTTTAATCCTTCAGGGATTTTCATATATATTTGTGTCTAATGACCCATATAAATATGCGGTCACGACATCCAGTAACTGCATATCTAAGTTCATAGTTACTGCCAGAGATATCAAATAGCGAAACGTTATTCCATCCATTACAGGAGAATATGTTTGATCAAAATCAATACCGGGTCTCTGCGAAAACCCTTGAGCAACTAATCTCGCTTTGTATATCACCACATCATTATTTTCATTTCTCTTTCGCACGAACACCCATTTATATCCTACTGGGATGACATTTTGAGGTGTACGCGCAATAGAGCCAAAAACTCGTTTATTTAGCGAGTCTAGTTCAGCCTCAATTGCATCTTTCCATCTTACCCAATCGGAGCGCTTCCGGCACTCTACAATTGATTTTGGTTCTGGATCCAGATTATTGGAGATGGTAAAAGCAACTATAGAGGCAAATGTGTCGTCGACGACTGTGTTACTTCTATTATAAGTTTCTCCTGTATCAACAAAATTCGTAGCTACTTCAATATTTACATCAACCAGATCTTCATCATTTCCCAATATATTTTGATCTGGATGTTCCGCAATCTTAGTATTTTTATTATTTGTCGCACGTGCATTTAAACTAGGATTTTCGCCTTCTGGACGATTCTCTTCTGGAGATTTCAGGAGTGATTCAATATTCTTATTAGATTTCGTTTTCCGCGGATTATTGTCTTTTGTATCAACGGGTCTACCACGCTTCTGGCGTGGAGCATCTGCAGGATTATTAGATTTTATGGGGACTTCCACACGTTGTGGAGCATTTATTGAAGGTACATGAGATTTGGTCACTCCTTTATGATCAGTAAATGCATCTGACAGATTATTTGCTAAATATTGCAAATTAATTATCTTTTGAACTTCAAGTTCAGTTTGACTAGTGCGTGGATCTAAATATTGTAGATTTTCTACATTCCAAGAAATTTCTCGGCATTTATTTAAGTTTGGGCTTTTATCTCCCCCTAATGCCGGAAAATTCTCTTCATCGAATATGCAGTCAGCGTACCTAGCTGTAAATTGATCCCCAGTCATGGGCTCTAGGTATTTGAGAATAGACGGAGATTCATAGCCAATATATATACCTAGCTTTCTATGAGGGTCCATAGAGGTACGCTGTGGTGGTGAGATGAGAACATAGACTGCACAACCAAATACTCGCAGATGGAAAATGTTAGGTTCTTTACCACGCACTAGTTGTATAGGGGAGTAATCATGATATGCAGTAGGTCGGATTTGAATTAGGGCAGCAGCATGTAAAATTGCATGTCCCCAACATGAAATTGGTAAGTTGGAATTTTGTAATAATGGTCTAGCAATTAATTTGATGCGCTTAATGAGTGATTCAGCTAGACCATTTTGTGTGTGGACATAAGGTACCGGATGCTCCACTTTGATGCCCAGTGACATACAGTAATCATCAAAAGCTTTCGAAGTAAATTCACCGACATTATCCATTCTGATAGTTTTAATTTGATAATCAGGGAATTGAGCTCTTAATTCAATAATTTTAGCAAGGAGCTTTGGAAAAGCCTGATTTCTAGTGGACAATAAACACACATATGTCCATCGAGTCGAAGCATCTATCAATACCATAAAATATCGAAAAGGTCCCGAAGTGGGATGAATAGGGCCAAATATATCACCTTGAATCCTATGAAGGAACGTAGGAGATTCAATTCCAACTTTAGTACGTGAAGCTCTCAATATTAATTTTCCCTTTGCACAAGCATCACAAATAAATTCATTAAAAGAAGGGAGATTGCTGCTTGATACGCTATGCCCAATACAATTAGAAATTATCCGACGCATCATACTAAGCCCAGGATGACCCAATCGCTCATGCCATAATTTAAATGAATTTGGGTCTTTAAATTTTAAGCTCAATGCAACATGATTAATAGAAGGTCGAATGTAAGTATGGTACAAGCCTGAGGAGAAAGAGGGAAGTTCTTCTACAATTTTCTTTTGACTTCCTTGTGAATGAGTCATTAGAAGATACTCTATATTGTTTTCAGTCTTAGTTTCAATATGAAAACCATTAGATCGAATATCTTTAAAACTAAGGAGTGTTCTTTGTGATTCAGGGTACAAAAGCGCATTGTTAATTATTAATTCGGTACCCTTAGGAAGAGTAAGTAAAGCTCTGCCGGAGCCTACTATCAAGATTTTATCATGAGCAATTGTAGAAACACTCCCTTTCTTTTCATTTAAAGTTTGAAAAAATTTCCTATCTTTCAAAATAGTGTGCGTAGTAGCACTGTCGACCATACATAAAATGCCCTCTTTCTCCATAAGATGCAAACTAATGAATGTTTGTGGTACACTAAAAGAAAAGTAAAACATTGTAAGCAAACGAAGCAATCATAAAGTCCCAATCAAAACATAACGTCTGAAAACATACCAATAGCAAAAACAAACCACAAATGTCTGGCGAAGCAAAAGAAATCAGAACTGTCTAATAGCAAGAAACAAACCACGAAATAAAAATATCCAGTTCTAAGATAGAATGCATATTAATCACACATCATCACCATAGTCCTCGAGCTCAAGCTTCAATAAATCATCATCATCAGCATTGAAAGCTAAATTTGCTTCAGGCAAACTAGCATGATGTGATTCACCTTGAGGAGCCTTGCCTTTCTTATCCTTAAGCATTCTTTGATAGGCCTCAACTAGATGTCGAGGAGTACGACATGTGCGGGACCAATGGCCACTGCATCCACATCTATAGCACACTTGCTTATCTTGATTAGCTTGTGGAGC